TTAAAGGATAGGTCCATTTAGTGCAGGTAGCAATATCTACACAATTAAGTGCAAATTTATAAGTTTTATTTCCAATTTGATCATAAGGCATATAGCATAAATCAGCTTAAATAACTTTCATAGGTACAGTAATATTATTAAAAAATGCTTGTGGAATATACTTAGGCTAAGGCTTATGAATCTGATACAAAGCCTGTTTGTTAAGCCAATTTTTTATTACGGTCAAAGTAAACATATATCTGGCTTTTTTATAAGCAGTTTGCATTTTTTCAGCAGTCCGATAATATCCCTCAGGTCTGTAATAAAGTTTCTGGAAAGCAAGATTCTTATCTAAGTCTCACGTTTTTTGAGGATCAATATAAATAATCAGTCTTTCGACTTGGCGCTCTCCTATTCCATTTTTTTATAATTACGAAAAAAAAAGCTGGCATCTATAAAGTCAGATTCTATTCATTAGCTGGGGCACTTTTTTTTCCTTGCGTTTTTGTCTAGCCTCTATTTCCTTCTGCAGGTTTAGGGGAGTGTCAAACCTTAAGTGGATTGCAAGAGGATCATCTTCTGACCTAGTGAGATCAAATACGACAAACTCACCTTTTCGAAGGTAACTATTAATAACCATAGATGTATTTTTTACATCATCAGTATAACGCCTAATGATCTTAGAAATATCTTCATGTGAGTTACTAGAGTTAAATACTACTAGATGTGTTGTGTTTTTACAGGTGAATGTATCGAGTTTATAATATTTTTGTATTACATATACACATGAAATATTTTGATAACGCCCATTTCCAAAAAATTGGCCAATTCAATTTTGTATATGCTCTGGAGCTAAGCATACATCCTTAAAAATAATTAATGTACTTCTTTTAGGTGAGAATGCTCTTGTACTAGAAATTTTTTCAGGTGGTATATAGCTGAAACTAATATTCTCATAGTAAGGCGCTCTTGGGTCTTGCGAAATCATATTATATATATATCTAATATATGCTCATTTTGGTTTGTCTAGATGATAACTGCATATAATCAGATCATCACAGCAGATATATCTAGACCCACCTTTCTTCCCCTCTTACACATATTCATCCTTATCATTAAGAACAAGGTTCGCAAGTAAATTAGATTTACCTGTACCATTTTTCCCAGTAACAACCATAGTGAATGTCTATGTCATTGCTAGATGACCTACATTTTGGGATGATTCATGTTCTGTAACTTCATTCATATCCAAAAGACAGAGTTTTATAGGAGGTATTTCTGTTTTTAAACACTTCTGCATAGTGGATTAGAATTTCGTATTTTTGTTTTCTATCAAAGGGTATTATATATTTCAGAAAAATTTTCTCTTCATTAAGGGATGGAATAAAAGAATATAGATGGGAGAAGATAAACCACAAGAAGTATATGATTAGTAATAGTATTATAAGAAAGATCGCAAACTGAAAAAAGAAAGAACCAAATTTCTCATTACTAATCAAAGCTTTACCAGACCTTAACATAGTAATGGGTGATATTGTGGGATGGTTACTATTGAGTTTCTTTTTTGATTTTTGTTCAGTGTGGTCTATTGGGAACTCCACCTCATTTTTTACTTTCCTTTCATCAGATTTAAGTTCTGAGCAGTGTGAAGAAAAAAAGGGAGTCTTGCCCTGAGCATCTTCGGAAAAGAAACTAGATACCTCTTCTTCTTCATCGCCACCTGTTTTTGAATCATTAGATGACGGATGTGATTTTAAAGGGATCTGTTCTAGTTCATCTCTTTCAGCTTGGCGTTCTAGATCACTTACTCTAGACCTGAGGTAGAAAATTAACCCATCCTTAAATGATGAATTTTGTGTAACTTTCTCCAGTTCATTTTCCAATTCCTTTGCTTTAATCTCAAGAGAGGGATTGCTATACAACTGGTTAGTATCAGAGTCTTTTAATAAAACTTTTTGCATAGCTTGTTCCAACTCAGCCTCCAGTTCATTTATTTTAATTCCAAGAGAGATGATATCAGAATCCTTCAAAGATGAAGCTTTTTGCATTGAAGATATTATGCTTTCCAGTGATTTAACCGTAGACTTTAGCGATTCTATTTCTTTTAACTGCTTGGCATTAAGATCGGCATGAGACTTTCGTTCGCAAGTAATTTGGGAGACAAGCTTATTATTCAAACCATTTAGTTGATTAGCTAGGGGGGTAATTTGATTCATAGAATTATGCATACGCTCATTTTCCTCATGCGAGTGATCTAGATCATTTTGCATACACTTATTTTTTTCATCTAAGACATGATATTTAGTTAAAAGCTGTTTGGCAGATCTTATAAACTTTTTGTGATCTTTTTTTAGCTGTTCTTCAAGTTCTAATCGGCTCGGTGGATATCGATTGGATGGAGGGCTTCCAAGTTTACTACCATCACCATTGCCTACATCATTTAAGGTATGGATTCGAGGCATAGTTTTTTATCCTCGTAAATATAGGCAAAAAAAAAATATAATTTTTGAAATAATAACATTTATCCTAAGTATCCTAAGTATCCTAAGTATTCTAATTATCCTAATAAATTTTTTCGAAATAATATATTTATCATATTTATCCTAATAATTTATTTTCAAAATAATAGGGTTATCATACTTATTCTAAATATTAAAAGGAATACATTTATCCTATTTATCCCAAAGAATACATTCATTCTATTCAGTCTATTTAATATTTTTTGAATATTTTATCTAAAAAAAATATCATCACAACTATGGTTAGACAGCGTATGAATTGTAATGCACCTCCATTTTCACCAACCGATTATGATTTTATTATACAATGCCATGATGAGAGATTTAGAAAAAAAGTTTTAGAAGAATTGATGGTCAAATATAATACATCAATGAAGCGCATATATCAGATTTGGAGAGGCGAAGAAGCTAATAGAATTGCCTGGAATCAACCAATAGCTGATATTTCTAATACTACTTATGCAGGTGGGTGTTTACCTGTAGTAAACTGCGACCCACCTCCTGCTATTTCCTCTCCACCTGCCTTACCACTGAAGAAAAATAGTTGAAAAAAGAAAGCAGGTAAAACAGCATCTACTGAGACGGAAACAGAGGTGGTTTCACAGCGCAGTGTTAATACCACAGATAATACTGATATTTTATCTAAAATGGGATCTGAACTTGAAGATATATTAAAACAAATGGATGATATTAAATAACTTACTTCTTTTCGGCAAGTATTTTTATAGCACTTATTGCTTTACCAAGCCACTCTTCAGCCTTTGCAAGATGCTCTTTAAGCTTCGCACAGTTTATGCACTTTTTTTTAAGTCCTCCTCACTAGTTGGATCAGAAGAGTTAGCGGATACCTGAGGTGATGATTTATGCTCCTCTTTTGGCAGATCTTTGACTACTGGAGCCTTGCTAAAGGTTGGGATAATATATGTTTTTCCATGATCCTCTATGCGAAACTGATTTTTAGTTGGATCAGAAATACCTTTGACTTTTCGAATTCCTGTCGCCCCCAACCATAGCATTGGCTTGGGCTCACCATTGTCAACACAAGCATAATTTTCAATAATAGTAATGATCAGGTTCCCTTCCATGTCCTTTAGAATGACCGCTACATTCGTATACCATCCTAGTGCTTCAGAGATATGTTCAGAATTACCTTTTACAGAGAATTTGGAAGGCTTATC